AACCTATATCCCTCCAAGGTCATTCTCTCTTATCACTCTGTGCAAGGGATTAACTCCCCAAAGGCTTCTGCTGTGCTCTACTAATTAGAACATATGCTCTGGGAATTGAAGACTGTTCAAAGTCGATCAACCTTATGATTCATGTACAAGTGCTGCGGAAAATGTATGACAAACTTAGTCGATCGCGTTGAATGTTATGAAAATTCACTTCCACCAAAGGGACTAACGATGGATCCGCCATCCCAAAGGTAAAACGCGGTAGGCTCACCTAGCCAGATAGGGATTGCCCTTATTTGAGCTAAGCCTTCTCTGGTACCCTGTTTCAGCTTTCATCATGGTTCCAAGTACGAATTGCAATAAATGACCCTTCTCAATCAGGTTCACATCCAGTGGGCTGAAACCAAAAGGCATCTTGGCAAACATCGTTGGACAACGAACTTGCGTGCAGATAGTACGAGACTTCTTTGATGACATATCCCTTGTATACTCCATCGCTGATCTGTACATGTATTTCCCATTCTATCCCATCCTGCGATTGGCCTATCGCGCCGACCGACATTGACGACATTCGCTTAACAAGCGTAGAACAGCATCCTCTTAGGCACGATACATCAATCACACCGTGTAAAAAGACTTGGAATCAAGTGTCTCAGTAAGGATGTCGCCACCTACTAACCATCAACGTTGTACGGAATTATGACTGTCTGTGATAAAGGCACAAGATCCCCGCACCGCTGTTGATGTGCCGAAATAAACGAGCAGTACTCCCTCGTGGAATGCTCAGACGTCGAACTTTGGCGAGAATTGCGATAGGCTCAATTCTAGCGCAGGCAGGGTTTCTGAGGAGCCGCCCGGAAGGTTGTTTGAGTGACCCTCTGATAGTGTTGCCAAATAAGAAGCGTCTCCTGGGGGCATCATATTCTCGCTCGACGTCTCGCGTAGCGCTTCATCGTATCCATAGATGCTGCTTGGTCGCAACGAACGTGGCATATCGGTTTGGGTTGCTCCAGATTGCGAGCTCACATCCGGTGCGATAACTGGTCGTGAAGAGGCCATGCCAAAAATATTCTTATCGTTTGATCGACGGCTGTCCTCGGGTCCATGCTGGCAGATGCAGGGGTTCGTACTTGTCAGCAACCGGAGACGGTTGAGCACAGAGAATTCCAACTTCAGCTTGACGCTGTACACCACCGTCTTGAAGCTCACTTGAATGTAGTGTAGCTTGTACTCCGCGAGGAGTAGTAAGACGTTCAGGATTACAACGAGGATGTTGATGCAAAATAGATGGATAATGGCGTTGCGGCCGTCGCGACCGCGGATTGTAATGGCACTCTTGAAATGATGCACCGCTTTATATATATATATGACACAGATGACGAAGTCTTGTATGCAAAAAACCGTCGATTGGATCCGGTCAAATATCGCGGCAGGGCGAGCAAAGCGCGCATCGCCGCGGTTGAGGCCGAAGAAAAAAACGGTCATTGGGATATGTAGGATGCAAGCGTTTGTAATGATCATCCATAGAACCCACCGCACCTTTCTCATGTCGGAGAAAACGAGGTGCAGACGCGAGTAGAGGACGACAGCTTGGCCGGTAACCATGGCGTACCATCCTATCATGAAGGGGATGGACGTCGGGAGGTTGGACGCCTGAGAAATAAAGCGAGCCATAGCAGGAATGGCATGCACGAGAATTCCCCAGGATGCAAATTGCATGCTCCAGAAATAGAGGCCCCGGTAGCGCTTGAATGAGTCGAACGTGACAATCCCTGTTTCTAGGGCATTGTACGCGCCGATAGAGAACATGGACACGATCTGGATGATGAAGATATTCTCCATGAGGATGGCCCCAACATTTGTTGGCAGGCTGGTCATGAGTGTATCCATGGTCTAATAAGGCTTAACGAGTACAAAGAAGGCTAGAGGTATAGAGGATAAACGATCAGCAGCTTGGTTTATAAAAGCCCCTCGAACCGAGAACTGTCCTCGCAATGAGATCATGACATCGTAGCTAGGGGCTCCTTGGAAGCTCTAAAAAACGTCTGGACTCTTATCGGCTTGGGGGAATATGCTTGGTTGGCTTCCCAGTGGTCTGAATGGGTCTAACGGGAAGCTATGTCGAAACCAGAGTAATGTGTAGTTGGGACTGAGGCATACAATTGATTTTCAATCCATGCCACAGTTATTTTTGACGTGAAGGAAAGCTTTCCCACTATTCTCAAGTCATAGGGCTAGTTTCACGACGACTGCAAAACCGAGGGCGGGATCGTCGGCCCATGGCTGATCGCCTCATCTTGAATCTTGACAAATGATTTTCGATGAACCATGGAAACGCTGGTTCGTGGAGAAAATGGGATTATCCGTGGATAAATAGGATTTAGTTTCGATCTCATCGGAAACCTTACCAATAAACTTCTGCTCCACCTGCTTTCTAGGTCGGCCGTGGTTGAAGTTGTCCCTACAGTCATAGGAGAGTCCAGAAGAATCGGGTATGATCACTACGGGCGTAGACCTTTGAAATATTATGAGGTAGCACTACTGTATTCAAAATATTCTCGATCTCCAGAGTCTGAGGACGGGTAGAATGAGCCGGATGCTGGAAAAGGAGTGGGACCGCAGATGGTCGGTCCACACCGCCGACTCTTGCCATTTCCGTGAGCCAATCGGTTTCTCGGCTTTTCAGGCAAAACCCAAAAGAATATGCTTATGTAATCCCAGCTGATCCGTTCAAATCCGTTGAATGTTTATAAACTGTCTGCTAGGGTTATAAGAACTGGCGATCGAATCTGAGCAGATAGAAAGCGCAGATTTCGGTTTTAAAGGGAGTATACTCATTAGGGAAGCTAGTACAGGAGAAGATACATATATTCTTGAACATCCATCAAAGGACGAGACTAACGAGAACCAACAGGTCGCCACTCGACGGAGGACCAAGTTATTTTCTTGAGAGAGCAGGTAGGAGAACCCGACCATTGATTGCTTTCAGCGTACCATTCTTTTGCTGGACATCTGCGTGATATTCCAAATACCTCAACTACCGTACCTGTGAGGGTGGTCCCTTCAGAAGGACCAACTCAAATGGTTGCCCTGGAAACTAAGCCCAGGTTCCTGTTATGGCTTTTTCGACACAATCTAGAAGTCTCATAGTCAGTTATGGAACCATGGTGAGCTTTGAGGAATGTAGCATGAGTGGCAATGGTTGGTCCAACTTGGATTCCCTAGTTCCATAAAACAAAGCCCTATACATGTCCTTAGTTGATTTCTGGATTGTTTTCTTCTCCGAATGAAATGGATGTCTTTATGGCCCAACTTTCGGAAAGCGTTGTAATAGTGGGACCGTGTAAATGGTCGAATTTACATCTAGGACAATAGTACAACTACACCACACATGGCTGAGGCCAGAGAGCCCTTCTTGTTTCCAAGAGAGACACGAATGGTTCGACTCTGGTCGATACTGAGACACAACCGTACACCCTAACGTAGATCCCGATGTGGGGTAGTCGATCACATCCTCCACAATAAAACCGCAGATCTTGTGCTTTCGCGCTAGCGCGCCGTGGGGCCCCTGTGTCAATGGGCACTTGGCTTTCAGGCTCATGATGCTGATGCCGGCACAGCTGCTTGGCAGGAGGGGAGTCACGCTTTCACCTCGTTTCAGGGCTTTCAATTGTCCCCACCTAAACCTTTAAAGTCGGACCCCCAGAAGGCTACTGTGATCAATCATACCTTCACTCTGCCCGGCGTCTCGCTAAGTCCACATTCATTCGCCGGACGGAGGGTCCAGCATGGCAAAAGACCACAAGCCCTCTCGACGTGGTGCAGACCGCGGTCCTGCCACAACGAAGCCCGGGACTGGCAGGGCATGTGCCTCTTCGCCTTGTTCTGCTCGATCGACGGCCTCTAGGTCCAAGACGGAACGTAACCCTCTCAAGGCGGTAGGGAAGCACAAAGGGCTGGTATGTTAATCTCTGTTTTTCCTTCCCTTGTTCGAGCCTCGCTGCATTTTCATCCTTTATCCGATCGGTTATTCAAAGCTGCACCTTGCTAACGCCTGCTTTTAGGGACATTCTACAGCGAAAAACGCCCGAAAGAAAGATGCAGAAGGAACCCATCAAAAGTGTTTAGACATGATGGACCAGGTTCAAATGGAGTTCCAGTTAGCTCTTGAGGACATAGATGAAGAGAGAGCCCATGATTCCCAGTCGATGCAGGGTCTGCATGCTGAAAAGGCCCAGGAGACATCGAAACTACAGGAGGTTATCGAAGCAAAAGAAAAAACTTTGGTTGAGAACCAGAGGCTTGAAAGAGAGCTCTGCCAATTGCAGCAGGCGCAGGAGTCATCGCACGCCACCATGCAGGGCCTGGTCTCATGGCACGATATTCAGCCTGTCTTGCATCAAACACATGGCGAGCTGGTATCGGCCACCACTCAGTTCTGGAACACGATCGACGCCCTCCAGAACCGTAGACTGGCATCCTACTTGCCAAGTTCCGGAGAGTTCCATGGAGGTTGGCCCGAGCAGGACGGCCCGCTTGGCACTCTAGGTCACAATGCCCTACCCAGGTTTTCCGCTTCGAGTGATTATCCGCTTGTAACTCAGGAGGCGACAATTTCAAGCAACCAATATGAATCACCTGTGTTTCCGGCGGTCCTGGCTTTACTATGGAGGAACCTGCTAGTTGGTTTACATAACCACCACGCAGGTAGATAGCTCATGAGATAATCTTCAGTAACGCCACCACCGTCCCATGACAACAGTAAATATAGAAAACAAAGGTTGCGTCGATCGGTGTTCCGCCGTGGAAAGAATATGTAAATCCTTTGACGATTAGACTCGCTCCGCCAAGCGCACCTTGGAAGGCAGAGAGAATGTTCCATAGTCGCTAAATGTGGTTAGCGCAGGGCCCACAGCCCGGGGAGATGCGCTGATCCGTTGGAAACAACCGAATCTGACTGATCATGGACCGTGGTCCCCACCTAGCATTTGATAGGTAATGTGACTCATCGACACACATAAAGAAACTAAGTCTTTTCTTGGCTCTTCGGTCGCACATGAATTTACTAGCCACTTGGCAGATAATAGAATCACAAACGACAGCCTACGATGCTGGCTTGAACTATGGTTTTCTGGTTCGCCCACAGTGACCGAAACTCAATTGAGCGGACTATCCGCGGGTCAGAAGATTTGAAATACTCTACCAAGAGTACGACGGCCAATCTATGCATCTCAAATTGACCCACCACTGAATGGGACGTGAGGATCCAGTGGGCCAGGGAGAGGGTATTCGCTAAAATGATACCCAGGCGCTTAAACCCCCGAAAAGCTTAATGACATGGCTTAGCGTATCAGTTTACAACTGTCACTGGCGAGGCCAAGCAATTCATCTCTTTACACCGAATTTATAGTAAATATTTGTCTACTTTCCGCAGCCTTACGGTTCAATACAGCTTCAAGTCAGAGTCTGCTCCGGTGAGATGGGATTGGTCGGAAATCACAATGGCATGATGGTACCTCAACCGTCAAGGGCTGACACCAAGCTTTAGAATGTAAACTTCCACCTCATCAATTTTGACCCAGATCACTGCTGTGACCGAAGCGTTCGCATAGTTGCATTCTCTCTGTAGTATCGGTATCGGTCTCCCCCTATTTGGCCACCATCTCGATAGCTTTCTCTACAACAGCTAAACGACTGTGGATGTCCTACAGATCACTGCAAATGGTCTCAATCCAGCTATTCTGAGTATCCAGTGACTTTTGCATGGACCTGAAAAATGTCAGCCTTTATTCGTTCTCTGGTGCGTCGCATAACTGACTTTGTTCGGATATCTAGTCTGATTGTTGTAAGCAGACGTATCACACACGTCATTTCAGGGGGCGAATTTCAGGGCGAATTGGCACTCACTCTGCAGCACATTGTAAGGCGATCATATTGCAGTCCTCGGAGAGATTAGCCTGCCTGGGTTTTTCCAGTTCCAATCAGCCACGAGTTTCATTAAACTTTAGGAGAACGAACTTTGTAGGAAGGCAAGTTTTGCCCCTAAAGTCTGTTTGAGGTTACATTATTCAGTGCCCAATGGGGCTTGGTCTAAAAGTTTATTGCTGTGTTCATTTTGACGTACAATAATTATATTCAAGAACAATTTCCAGGAGTACGAAATTGACAGTTAGGCGTTCTTATAGCTAGGGATTGTTTCAACACTGATGGTTTGAAGGAGCCTGGAATACGGAGTCAATAATCCACAATTCAGACTCACCGAACAGACTCCCCAAAATGGTCCATGGATCATGATATTGAACCTTTAGAAGCTTGCAGTGAACCAAGGGTACTTAGCTTTTTACTGGGACCTGGAGAGGATTTAGGCTCACTTTTCCCTTCTATTAGGAGCTCAAGCCGTGCTATTGTCCGAAAAGGTCTATTCTGGTTACTGTTAGTTCATGCGATATGTCCCCTCGAAGCGAGGTGGCCTGGGAGGAATGGGAGGAAAAGAACCTTCTCCCCTGGCTGGACGCTCATCGGGCGCTGCCGTGGAAAGCCCGCTCCCACGCATATTATGAACAATATCAGGTGGACCGAAGCGTTGAGTCTCTGCGAGGGAAAAAGTACCATATTCTGCGCAAGCAACGGCGCACTGATTCTGGATCGCCTAAGCATGCGGCCCATCGAAACCAAGCAGGAACTTGTCGCTCGGTCGGCCGTAGGGCTTCGTTAGGGAATCTCCCAAGCAGAAGGCCGGCGCAAAGTAATATTGAGAAATGTTTTCAAACAATCCTAAGGACCGAGCCCAGTCATACCGACAGTATTGAGTCAGCAAAGACGAAGGATTCGAGACCAGGTATCAACTAATATCCATCCACCTTTTACTATAAGCTAATCGTGCATCACAGGCCGC